AAAGGGGAAAAAAAAAAACTGCCCTGAATTAAAGGGCTGTTTTAACAGTAGGCTCTTAGCATTACGCCACATAGTCATTTTTCATGTTCTTGTTTAACAGGCACTGAGGCTCTGGTTTAAATTAAATAGCTGCAAATAAGACAATTTATAACCCATTAGGTTGGGTGGAAAATTGTTTCTCAAAAGCAAATAAGTAATAAATCTGGTATCTGCCTATAACTCACACTTGATAAGAAAGTGGCCATTACTCACTAGCCTTATATATGATTTGGGCCCTGGGTAATTTGGAAGTGTTAGGTTTGTGTCTTAGTAGCAGTATTTTTATTAGAAAAGAGTCTATTGGCCTTTTACAGGGTATTAATCCCTTTGTCACCTACCATCGATGCCTTACATTTTTTGAGTTTCATTTAGAAACCTTCCTTTTCTTGATGCATGACACGTGTAATCGGTACCTGCTCATTATTTGTCTGTATTTAGTTTATGCTGTATTATTTAATTATTTTTCCAGCATATTTTCCCCTCCTTACAAATATGATAGTCTTTAGTGTTAAGCCAAGGCATTGATCATGTATCTGTCCCTATAATGAATTAATAAACTATTTTCCAAACACGTGGAATGACTAGAATTTCCTCAGCCTTTCTCCCCTAGAGAATGTATTTCCTGCCAGGAGGGGAAATGCTGGTTGTGGAAGGTACAGAGCAGGTGGTTCTGGGAAAGACCTGAACTATCTTCCTCCCACAACAGGCACTTAACCTAGGAAAGATGCTTTCTTTGATGGCATTCTTTTAGGCTTTCTGGGGACCTCTTTCCATCTGGGCGCACATTTGTTTAACTTTCTTGGGTGCAAAAGAGGAGTAAAGGAGCAACTCCAGAGGTTTGGGCTTAACGACGACTATTCTTTTGTGCAACTGTGGTCTCCAGAGTTGCTCATGGCTGCATATTCACACATAGGGGCACTGTGCCCACGCATGCACACTCACTGTCATGAACACCCTGGTGTCCATTAACTCAAACATGGGCACACAGCCACATACAAAACTCTACACCCACGCCCCACATGCATCTCAGGTTCGTGGTTGGCAGTCGCTCTGCTAAGATCTTTACAGAGCCTGCTTGGTGCCTGCTTTTCTATTTGAGGGAACCAAGAGCCAGGGGCTGCCCTGCCCTGGACCACCCCCAAAGTGGCTGGTGGGCCCAACCGGTGTTAATTGACAGATCATAGGGAGAGATATGCACATTTTGCATGCAGCAGAATAGCCATTATTTGCATATCACTCTCAGACCAAGCGTTGTGATAAAGAAGAATTAAACACTTGTCAAAATGAATTTAAAATGACAGCAACTCAGGACACTGATTTGACCTCTCCGAGTCTAGGACAAGCCAAGAAGGGGTTATTGAGAATTCAAGCCCGGCAGGAGGGAGTTCCAGAACTTTGGGCCCAGGGCCCCCCCCCTTCTGTCCCTTTCCGATGGCCAGTAGAAGCCCATCATTCCTGCCTTTCCTCACGATGAAATAGATTTGGGGCTTTGGTGCGTCTCCTGATCCTAAATTTCTTTGGTGTGCCCCCTGACCTTGAATTTCTCCATTACCCCTCATTGCTCACTCATGCCTCAAGCCGTGCCTCTCAGACTCATCTTCCAATTTCCACTGCAGAGTAAGGAGTCCCTGGGCTGCACAAACCCCGTCATTAGTAAATTTATCTGATCTCTGGAGGCCTGCACTTCTTTATTCATTTGCACCAAAGTTCATGTATGGTTAACACTCCTGATTGCAAGATTCCACAGCTGGTATTAAAAGAGAGACATAGTTATTCTGCCATCCCAGCCCAATGCCAGAGGAACAAATAGCTGAGTGAGGCAAAGACTACCCTCTTTAAATCTTCTTCTCCTAGAACTTAGTAGATGGACCAGCTCATCATGCTGGACTCAACAGAAGATCATTTACTAATGAGTGGCCAAAAGAAAAGGTCGCTGAGGGCTAGCATGGGTATGTGTCTCATAAGAGGTGATACATGCCTATATAGCTTCTGTAAAATTCTTACTGGTTGCCTCATATGTTCTCTGACATGAAACACCTAGAATCTTCTTTGTGACAGAAATGTTATTGAGAATTTTAACTTTCAGTTTGCCAGGTCATTTGTTAGGACCTGTGTTTTTAAAAAATCCCTAGGGGTGAGCAGGAGAGAGAGAGAGAGGATTATCTATATCTTTCAGATGAGCTCAGAGAGTGACTGCCTGGGTTGGCTGGGCTAGACAGCAAGCAGAACTAGGGTCGGAACCCAGGTTACTTCAGCGTTCTCATTGTCCTGTTGGGTCTGCTACCCCAGGGCTCTGGGAGAAGCTGCTTCCTAACCCCTTCTACCTCCGGTCCACCCAAGCGCCAGAACTCTGCAGTCTAGAGAGACCAGTCTTGCAGCTAAACGTCCTAGCCTTTGGGTGGCAGGACCAGAAACCATGGAAAACCGAACCTTTGACAAGTTTGTGCAGCTTTTAGGGAATTATCTCGAAAATACACACTTGGACACGGTGGAGGAGGGCGAAGCAGAAAGAGCGGGGTCAGAGCAAATCTCATGGCTTTGAGTGCTTCTCCGCAGCCCGGACCCACTTGACAGTCTGCTGGGTCTCCACTTCCCCAGTTCCCCAAGTCCGGGGCTGGCCCGCGGGCAGGGGGTACCGGGCAGCAGCCCGGGACGGCGCCTGCCGCTCGAGCCACAGTTCAAAGCGCAGGGGGCGCGTCCGCCGCTCAGCCGGGAATGTCCGGCCGCTTAAAGCGCTCGCCGGCTCTTTTGTTCCCCAGACCGGGCCTCCGGGGAGAGGGGCTGGGGGAGGGGACCGGGAGGGGAGGGAAGGGGGGCGGCGGGCAGAGGGAGGAG